AGAGGACAATGCAGCTATTCCTGATGTGATCTGATAGACTAAGATCAGAAGGAAGGAGAGGAGGGGCATGCATGCAGAAACAGGAGGGAGGGTGGGATCGGGAGGGGAGGAGGGAGGGGCTTATAGGGGGATACAAAATGAAAAAAGTGTAATTAATAAAAAATAAAAAAAGTTAAAAAAAATAAAATAAAAAATAGCTAAAGCTGTAATAAGAGACAGCAATGTTTTTAAGTGCTAGGAAGCAGGCTGGAGTCAACTGTGCACACAATGAATTCCAAGGCACTGTAACAGGACTCCGTGTGAGACCTTATTCATGAGTTATTTGTCTTACTAATGCAAGGCTCCTTCTTGTGCACACAACTTAGATATTTTGGAAACATGATCCTCCTAAAACCAGAGCTTTGTAGTTGTCATGGTCTAGCAAGGTGGATTCTGGAAGCTCTAGGACTGGGGAAGTTTTCTGCTTCCATGAAAGCCAGAATGGCCAAGGTCACTCTGCCTGTTGGCTCTAAAACATCTCAGTCCCTTCTCCTTAAGCTACTTTCACGATCTCCCAGAGCTGTACTCTGAAGGGCAAGGTATTGACTGGTGCCAGCAATCACTTCTTCTGGGCTTTAGAATAAAGTTGGTAAAGCATGTCACACACAGTTGCTCTCTGGCCCTGCTAAAGATGGACAGACAAAGCTCAGCTTTCAAAGTCAGAAATACAGTCTTCTTCGGTCTACTCAGACAATACTGAACACCCGGACAGGACTGTTGGCCAGTCAGGAGCTCTAAAGATCACTTTGTTCTTTTTGTGTGTGTGGAAAAATAAACTGAGCTGATCCCTACCAACATAAAAACATGACCATTTTAGTGAAAATACAATCAGCAATTGATCCATGAAAAAAAAATGAACACTGCAAAATTTGTTTCGTAGGTCTTAGTCCATAAGAAAACAAACAAAAAACTTCTTTCCCACCTTCAGTCCCCAAACAACTGCTTACCCACTCAGAAGTGGTAAATGTGTGGACGGAAATGATATTGACTTGGTCCTGAGCTCATTTTACCACACATCAGCTTTGCAAGTGGTTAAAAATAAGTTAAGAATGGAAACAGCGAGAAACTATGTCACTTTTGAAATTGTAAATGCAGGGCTAGTGAGCTGGCCCAGTGGTTTGCGGCCAATGCTGTGCAATCGTGAGGACCAGAATTCTAATCCCAGCACCTACAGCCTGCAAACACCCTTATTATCTCCAGCCCGGCAGGATCTAATCCCCACAAAGCTTGTGCACCCTCAAAAGTACGCACAAAGACATGGACACACACATAAAGATAAACATTCCAAATCTGTCTGAACAAAGATATTTTCTCAGGCAATGTGAGACAGCTGTTTTTTCTTCCCTTTCTGACACACAGCACTTCCTCAGTGTAGATAACAATAGGCAACACTTGCGTTTGCACAACTCATACCAATTCTCTCCTCCCTGGATGTGTAACAGACAAGGACAACATCAACAGTGCCGTTTAGAACGAGACCTCTTCATCTGGGGTCTGTGGCCCCCAAGGAATCAAAGAGCAATTCCACTTTCCAAATCTTTGAATTTATATGTAAAAATTTTGATATTTGCATATATGCACTTTTCTGGGAATAGAGCCTAGAACTCTCATACATTATCAATAGAGGCACTGACACACACAATGAAAAGCCATTACTTTATAGCATGCTTTCCCCACCTAGCCTTCAGGGAAGGAAACATAAGTGTTTTTGTTTTTAGAGGAGAGGGGGATGATAATAAGTTGGGAGGGAATTCTTCATGCGGAACTGATGAAATTGGGTCTTAAGAGATGGGTGACAGGGGCCAGAGGGTAAGGCAGCTCAACAGAGGGGCTGTCATGACCAGAAGCACAAAGGTGGAACCAGGGACGGGTAGTCATAAATGCTGCACTAGAGGGTGACTGAAGAGTCATGGGAGACAAGTGAAGAGCGTGAGCCTCTCAAGCCCAAGGAGGCAGCCTCAGCCTGAGGCGACAGACAACCCTCCAGACCAAAAGGTTTTTCCCAAAGATCCCTCCAGTGGAATGTGTGAGATGGATCTGGAAAGAGTCTGGGCACGTTAACATTATCACAAATAGCTAAACAAAAGAGGATGCTCTGAAGTCAGAGCATCATGTCTGGCCTGTCAGCTCCTCTCTAGTGTGCATCCCAGGACCAGACACAGGGTAGATTCTCAGGACGTGCTGAGTGAGCGGGTGACTGAATGAACACGAGTTACTTTAAAGATAATAAGGAAAGGGGAGGCTGACAATCTGGAAATCCGTCTGGCTGTTATTCAGAGCCTAGCAGTACTGCACATGCAAGAGATGCTGAGAAAAGGCCTCTTGAATTGACCTGAGCCAGACTGCCCGGATGTGGGAGGTGAGAGCGATGTGGAATCCAGTGCTCAGAGTGAGGCTGGGGGGTGCTGCTACTGAAACACGCAGCAAGTGCTCAGAAACATGGCTTAGAAGAAAACCAAGACAAGGGGTGTGATGACAAGAGTCCTGTAGGGCAAGGGAAAGACTTCAGCTGCAGGTCTTGTTCTTCAGGTACATGGTATGCGATGGAGACAGAAAGGACCGCAGGGGCTCTCTAGTAAGAGGCTCTCTAGAGCTAAGTCTTGCACTTTCTTCAGTGCATACTTTCAAAAGAACAAAAAACAACAAATCTATCCTTCCTTTCCTTAAATCTTACTTATTTTCCCAAAGCATATCTAATATCTCTGTGTACGTGGGCAAGATTCTCCCGAGGCCTGGACTGCAACAGTGATTCAGGCCCAAAGTCTTCTATGTCTGTAATTACTGATACGGTTGCCATGGCCTTGGTGCCATCACTGGTCACAACTGATTTAGGATGGACGATGAAAGGGTGAACTCTGGCAACATGGGCTATTTCTGGATAAATGTATTTTGTCCTTTTAACTGTCCTGATGGATCCAAAGCATATAGCCACTGCTCGTTAAGACTGCTTGTGGTGTAGGAAGCAGGCATTTAAGTAGCTGTGTTTCTAGAATACAAAAGGTTTAAAATAACATGTGGTCCTTGGGTTTTCTGCCCAATCAAAAGCATGTATTTATGAAAAAGATTGTGCTTCCTTAAAGTTACTTTCCAGAAAAACAGAAACAAAAATAAGACCTCGAGCAAATGAGCAAAATGCCCTCTAATTTCTCATTGTTTTCCTTATAAGTAGTAGCATGTAGCCACCAAATTGGACAATAAAGGCCTCCCATTAAGGACTGTGCAGTCAGGTCCACAGTCCCCCTGTCCATGTGTCATTCAAGAGTTTGCCTCGCCCCATGGACCTGCCGCCAGCTGACTAGAAAACCAGGAGACACCCAAATGACACTGACACCCAAGCATGCTTAATCATGCATGCCTCCTCCACTATATTCTTACTGGTCATTGAACAGTTCCTCCAAATAGGAATGGTTTTTTTAATACCAAATATCCATAGCTAAGTTTTCTACAGGTAAGAATTTTTAGCTCAACAGTTCAACATTATTCCCATTTCCGTATGCCCTACAGCTGCTTACGTGGCAAACATCTTCAAAAACGCTTCCTCTTTGCCTCCTTGAAAATGTGCGACACTCTTTAAAGATTGTCATGGAAAAGCTGTATTAAAAAGAGGTTACTTTTCAAGTAAAGTACATTAATTTCTCAGAAACTTCTATCTTTGAAGGGTCTCTTCAACTCTATAAGAAGTAATCCTTACCCTGATCGTTAGAAGCAGAGCCATTGGTTTGCAGTTAAGTCTTACAGCCCAAATCCATAGCCATCACACAGAATCCTTACCCCACAATTGCCTGGAAAATGAACTAAGCTATCCAAAGCTGTCTTCAGAGATCAACACAGGTACAGGGAAATCCCACCATTTTGGGGGCTCTGTGAGAGGGAAAGGGCACGTGGGAAGGGATGAGAGATGATGAAACACTAGGATCTGGTACCAGTGCTGTCCCTGTCACCCAACAGTGGGACGCCTGAGGAGGCGCATCAAGGAAACCACAGAGGACTCACTCACAGGAGCACCTTCACCGTTCTCTTTCCAACACATCTCTGTCAAAAAGACATGACAGTCGACAAGCCTCCGCCTGCAAAGGTCAGATACTCTCCTTTCCCTCTGTTAACCTCCGAAACCAATAAATCTTTATCTTCTCCAAACCGATAAATACAGGCAGGTTAGCACATTGGGGGAGGGGACAGCAAAGCCACATTCCAATGTGCTCCGCAAAGAAATCGACAGAGCCAAGGACCACGAGGAGCTACTTCCCAGTCCTTCCAGCAAGCCACAAAGAGAAGTGACGCTGTCCTAACGGGCTTTGTGTGTGTGTGTTCCATCTGTGCAGCCTCGGCAAGGGACTGCTCCTGCTGCCAGAAAGGAGAGTCCTTCACCCTCAGCCTCCCGGAGCACAGTATGTGTCTGTGTGGCACCACTAGCAGGGTTAAAGCGCCCTGCTAACGCTGCCACAGGAATCCCCACAACACCCTGTGAGGTAGGTAGGTGGAGAGTATTGTCATCCCCACGGGGCAGGTGGGAGAAATGAGGCACACGATAGTTAAAGGACCTGCCCCCATCACACGGCTCGCCACCGGCAGGGTCTGGAGGGAAGCTCGTGTTGCATAGCACGCCCACTCAGCGCCGCGCTCAGCAGCTGCCCGCTGAATCCGCTGAGTGTCGCCGGGCCACATTTGCCCTCTGCCTCCCAAGAAGGTACACGCACAAAGTACAACAGCAGGCAAAGGATGGCATGGCCTTCATCTCTTCTGATGGTATTTCTCACTCCCTAAACACCCTGCAGATGAGAGACGCTGGAGAATCCACCTGACAACCAAGTCCTCATTGAAGAGGATCAACGGAAACACTCAGCTGACAACCCACTGTGTACCTGCCCTCCCACACAAGATTGGTTTTCTAATGAAAACAAAAATGGATTTCAGGTACCATGCTGATATTTGTCTTGTCTGTTTTAAACGCAGCCATCGGAATGGTTCTGTGGTTTTGTTTGTACAAAAAAAGAAATAAGGCGGCTTATAGTCCAGTTAGCATGTTACAACTGGGCCAAGCTTGGAGATCTCCTCCCAGCCCAGACGGATTCTACCTGGGACACGGACCGACCCCAGGGATTGGTAACTCCTAAGGAAGAGGTCAGTGAAGGGTCATCATTTGCACTGTTCGTGGTCTGTGTAATCATCCATGTCCACATCAGAATCAAAGAGAGAGTGTCCGGTGAAATCCGTGTCTGGGGTCCTGGAGAAGCTGTTGTCAGCCCCCTCGTCTTCAAAGGTCTCTGTCCTTGAGTAAAAGCTAAAATCCAGCATGGGTGTGTGAGTCTTGCTGCCCTCACTGCTCTCCTCAGACTCGTAGAGGGTGTTGTCGCCATCCTGGTGCCACTCGGGCCAGAACTTCCTCCTGATCCTCTCACAGTACATGGCAAGGTTGATGAGCTCACCTGCGGTGGGGCAGAGAGGCAAGAGAGAGCGCTCAAAGGCAAACCCAACAGTGCTGTTGATCAGAATGCCCGCGTTCCCCGCCCCGCCTCCCCCACTTCCAAGGGCTACAATCCCAACTCCCAGGGAGATGCTGTCGGGAGGTGGGGCATCAGGAGCTGGTAAGGATGAGACAGGCCCGCCCTGGCTCAAATTAAAGCCTCAGCTACTGCCCCTTCTGCTGTAGGAGGGCCTAGTTGAGGGGGCACTCTCCCTGTGAACTGGGAAGCAGGCCCTTCTTAGACAACAAGGTCTTGGAGCTCCCAACTCCAAGCATGTGAGAGAAAAAAAATAGCTTTCACTTACAAAGCACCTAGTTTGTGCTATGAAGGAGCCACGAAGTACAGTGGACCTTCTGGGAAATGTGAAAGAATGAAGCAGGCTAAACTTTAACAATGTTGTTTTTTGTTTTTTGTTTTTTGTTTTTTTTTCCAAAGGGATACTGTCAAACTATTTGGATTTTCATATGCACAGAAAATGTTTTTAAAATAAGAAAAGCTAAAAATCAGTGAGCAGACTGAGTGGAAAAAGACAGTGTGTTCTATAGTGACCAGAAGAGGGGCAGTTTACCAAAACTGGTAGCTACCTTCTGACCATCTGGCTTTGAGAAACATTTTGCCACTTCATGCCTGCATAGCAAAAGAACTAATATGACCATTCATTTATTAAGTTAATTTATAAACACCAACCCAGGCACAAACCTTTTGACGTACAATATGCCTTGCCTGCAAGATGAGTCAGGGCAATGGGGCACAGAACTTACACCAATAGTCAGCCAATGTCTAAGTTCACATAAGACCATGAAATGGAGCCCGTACCTGACACTGATGGGTGACCAAGAGCTGCATACTAGACAGTGCAGAGGCCTAAGTCAAAACCACATACAACGACTGCTGCTGGTCTAGAACACGTATATAATCTTATATATATAATGACCCTTACTGATATTCTGCTATTCTCATAGGTCAGTGCCTCATTCAGTCATCATCATCAAAGAAGTTTCCTCTGGCAGAAGATAGGAAGAGATGCAGAGACTCACAGACAGACATTATGTGGAGAAAGAGTCTAAAAGGGATGTCTCCGTCAAATCCCTCCCCTCAGAACTCAGGGAACCCCTCAAAAGAGAAGGCTTCTGTGTAAGAGCCAGAGGTGATGGAAGTCGCCAGGAGAACAAGGCCCTCTAAGTCAGCTAAGCAAGGTTCATATGAACTCACAGAGACAGAGTCAGCAAGCAGAGGGCCAATCAGGTCTGCAGCAGGTCCTCTGTGTTGGGGCTGCTCCAGGCCCGCTGTGTATATCACAGCTTTTAGCTTAGTATTTTTATGGGACCCCTGACTGTGAGAACAAGAGGATCTCTGACTCTCGTGCCTGCTCTCAAGACTCTTTCCCCTCCGTTGGCTTGTCTTTTCCAGCTTCAGTATGATGGTTTCTGCTTTGTCTTTCTACATTTTATTTTGTCATGTTCGGCCGTCATCTCTTAGAAGCCTGTTTTTTTCCAATGAGAACCAGAAAGGGAGTGGCTCCAGAGAGGAGGGAGAGGAGCCAGGAGGAGCAGAGAGGAGGGAAACTATAATCAGGGTATACTGAATAATAAAGGAATCTGTTTTCAATATGAGGAAAAGATAAAAATAAATTTTAAAAAATATTAAAAACTATGCCTTATATTTTCCATAAAGTGGACAATTCAGATTTGTGAATTGGGAATTACAGATACCTGTGCCTACAAAAACATAATATTTGTGTTTTTACTCTTTTAAATATTTTAATTTAAAAAGCTGCACACATAATTATGAATACGATAATATGATATAGTATGCGAGCACCATTTCCCAATTCCAAAAGAAAAATGAATCGAATGAGTTTTGCCTTTGATCCACTAGATGGCAGTGTTGCATACAAACAGTAATTGGACCTTACCTTTCTTTGTATATCTTTTCAGCTAAACATTTCACTTATTATATATGTAACCCATCTTTAGTGAAAAAAAAAAAATAGTAAATTCCAACAAGCAAAAAAAAAGTTTCCAGTAAGCCATTATCAACATTTTTACATTCTTACAGAAATGTGCTTTAAGTGTTCACGTAAACTCGCATTTGCCGCAGTCTGCCCGTCTCTTGTCGTTGACAACACACAGCGAGGGCCTCTGAGTCTCACGGGACAGCAACCCCGCTCACCTCACAGTGTACTACGTGGATGCAGAGCGAGCGCCCGAATAATTCCCTGTGGCCCCTGGTCACAGCCATTTTACTTCTTTCTACACTGACAGCTCTGCTGATGACAGTCTAAGCACCTGGTTTATTTTTCATTAAAGAAAATAACATAATTTGGAATATTACAAGTCTGTGGATAGAAATTGTACAAGCACATAAAGAAAAAGAACAGATTTATCATGTCATCAATCTAAAGCAGTCACAATTAACATTTTAATATATTTGTCTTTTCTATTTATTGATTGTTGTTATCTGATATCCCAAGTAGTATTGTTATAAATATTTTTCCCATGTCATTAAAACCTTCCAGATCCTGACTGGTGTTTTCCTTAAATTCGCACCCCCTCTACACGCATAACAGCGCACAGGGGCCCCTGCTTCATGGACCTGTGCACCCATAGTCAGCTGCTGGTTAGAGGTCACCATTGGAATCCGGGAACCCCAGCAGTGTGATCCACGTGGCCCCAGACCCCGGGCCGCTCGCGTTCCCGTGAGGGGATTTGTGCTCAGGAGGCAGATGAGAAGCCGGCACTATCATGCCCTTCAGGAGACACATATAAAACCTTGCCTGTTTCCTCCTTCAGGGACAGGCATGTGGCTCTCTCCCCAGGTACCAAACTGAGAACTGTAAAAGAATGTGATGACAACAACAAGAAAGGGGGAAAGACCTCACAAGAAAGACAGAGGCTGGAGGTCCCGGGCGGCTCTCTTCAACTCAGTCAAATCCATTCCCAGGAGCTGTTCCAGAGGACCACGGGAGAATAAGAGCCTTGCCCACTGGTACAGGCCTACAATCCCAGCCATGTGAGAGTCTGGGACAAGATGATCAGAAGGTCGAGGTTTGCCTCGTGTAGTGGTTTGAATGAGTATGGCTCCCATAGGCCCATATATTTGAATCCTTAATCGCCAGAGAATGGCACTATCTGGAAGAATTGGAAATATTAGGAGACATGGCCTTGATGAAGCAGATGTGGCCTTGTTGGAGGAGGCATCTCACTGGGGTGACATACTTTGAAACCTCAAAGCCCACGACAGGCCTGGGCTCTCTCTCTTCCTGCTTGCTGATCAGGATGTAGCTCACAGCTACTTCTCCAGGAGCATGCTTCCTGCCATGCTCTCTGCCATGACAGTAATGGACTAAGCCCCTGACATTGTGAGCTAGCCCTGAATTAAATGCTTTCTCTTTATCAGAGTTGCTGTGGTCATGATGTCTCTTTTCAGCAACTAAAACGTGATTAAGACACCTGAGCTACAGGGCAAGTTCAAGGCCGCCATGGACAACTTCATGAGACCTTGTCTCTAAACATAAAAGTAAAATGAAAAAAATAAAAAAGGCCTGGGGACACAACTCAGCTACAGAGCACTGGCCTAGGCCTTGGGTTTCATTCCCAGCACTGACAAAAAAAAAAAAAAAAAAAGAGGAGAGGGAGAGGAAGGGAAGCAAAAGATGGAAAGAGAAAGGTGGGTGGGAGAGGAAAAGGAGGAGGATGAGGACAGAAAGCTAAACTCTAGCTGTAAGAACTAGAGACAGCATTTGATGCTCTATCATTGGGGCTGCCTTTCCTCCTATGCCCTTATTTCTTTACTGTCTTCCGGAAGAGCGGTTCCCTGGTGGTGTGACATCCATGTCACTTCTGTGTGACAGCGTGAAAACCAATAACCACATCGGTCGGCATTTACAGGGTCCTCCTCGGGAGCACGAAGCGCTGCGCGTGCTCCACTTGTCCACTGAGCTCGCTAACCCCACCATGCTCACGCCCTACCGGGACCCAGTCCATGCCGAGGAGTAGAGAGACGGGCCCGGGATGCAAACATTTCGCTGTATTTTCGAGGACTACTACCCCGTGTTTCTTCCTGCGACTGTGAAGGGAAAGAACTGTTCCCTAACAGCAGTGAGCTATGGTGGGAAAAGTTGTAACGCTATGGCATAGTTGACAGCTTTGCCTAGATGAGAAGGACTGCGATCCCACACACCCCTCCTGCCCCTGAAAAGAGCATGAAGAAAGAGTGACCACCTAGAGCCGGGATCTCCCTTCACCTGGCTCTGCTAGTCCTTCCATGTGCAAGTTTCCATCAGATGACCCACTCAACCTGTTACCACCCCCCCCCCACAGAACAAACAACAAACACTGTAAAGGTTAGCAGGAGAAGCAGGTGTTGGGAGGGCGAGAGACACAGAAAGAGACAGAGAAAACCCCTTATCAACATAAATGCCCATGCTAAATATGTAAGCTCTATGAGCAGAAAAAACTGTTTTTCTTTAAGGCACACTCAACCATCAGTTACCAACGTTTTGCTCTGCAGAGTATAAACTGCGAAAAAGTTAGCGTGGCTGCATCCGACACTGGTGAGGCTATGAGGCCATGCATCGCGCTGCACGGCTGGCAGAGGGCTAACTGCTACACCCTACTCCGGAACGTAATCTAATATTGAAAGAGTTAATCTACATGATTCAGTATTTATTGAAACTTATTGAAGTGTACATATCTGTTTGCTTTAGATTCTACTTTGAGTTCCCCAGCCTAGCCAGTCAGTGAGGTTCAGTGAGAGACCTGTCTCAAAAAGAAACAGTGGAGAGTGAGAGAAATATACTAATGCCGCCTTTCAGCCTCTATACACACATGCACACACAGGCACAGGCACTAGCATGATCACACACACACACTATACATACACACACATACATCTATACACATACACAAAATTTATGGGGTTTGGGTTTTTTTGTTTTGTTTTGTTTTGTCTTGTTTTTTTGAGACAGGGTTTCTCTGTGTAGCCTTGACTGTCCTGGACTTGCTTTGTAGACCAGGCTGGCCTCGAACTCACAGAGATCTGCCTGCCTCTGACTGCCTGAGTGCTAGGATTAAAGGCGTGCACCACTGTGCCCAGCCACAACATTTTTAAAACTTAAAAAAAAAAAAAAGACTACTAACAATCCATAAAAACAAAACAAGAGTAACCGCATAAACTACAACAATATAGCAAAAGGATGAAATATTATACAACTACTAAAATCGCATTCCTGAAGACTATTCGATGACAAGAAAAAGCAAAATTCACTGCGTATTTTAGAGCCTTAGGTTTTAACAGCATTGACATTATGATTCCAGCCTTTCACAGTACACGCACACTTGTACTTGATAAAACATGAAAAGGCATGACAGTACCGGTAGTTCTCTGTCAATTATGAGGCCGCAGATGTGTGTGTTTGTCTGCTTGTTTGTTTGTTGTGAGACAGGAACCCACAACACAGTGCAGGCTGGGCTGGCACTCCATGTAAGGAAGGCTGGCCTTGAACCCACGTCCTCTTGCCTTAGGCCCCGATGTGTGGGGAGTGCAGCTGTGAATCACCACGCCTAGTCTGCATTTCTCACTTTTTACAACGTTTCTATCTTTTTTATATTTTCCCCAGTTATATGTGTAATATTTGGTAGTGGTATGTATAACTACAGTGTGTGGTTTTAACTTTGATTTTAGAGAGTCCCAGGTAAAGTCAGAAGAGAAGCTACAGGAATGGATTCCCCTCCTTCCATGTGGGTTCCAGAGACGGGACGCTCGCTGTCAGCAGCAGCAGGTCCCTCTACCTGCTGTGCCGTCTTCCTGACCACACGTGTATTTTAAGAATTGCTGATTGCTCAGTCTGTCTTCCTATTCATCTAAGTTAAGAATAATTTCTCATTATGTCAAGCAGTCCCAAGAGCAGCTTGTGTGGCTCTGTCAATAGCTAGGACCAAAGAACTAAAATCACTTTAATATACTCACACACACGACAAGGCCAAGGGTGGTCTGGTTGTTTATTCTAAAGCTACAGGGACAAACTTCCCTACTCAAACCACTCACACTCCTTGGTTTGAACCAGTCCTAAATTATCCAGGCTCTTTATTACTGCTTTCTTGGCAAAGTTTCCACCAAGAGAGCAAAAGCAGTGAAAGGGGTGGATACAAAGTTAGCAGCATGCTAGGGACAGAGAACTGTGGGCATCACTGCCTCTCACCGCACCCACCTGCCGACACTGCTACCACCCACCGTCCTCCTGCAGCATGAAGGGGACCACTGCTTGCCTTTGATTAGCCGCTCTGGTCTTGTCCCCGGCAAGGTCCACATCGCCTGTGCCAAGTGTCCAAACACAGTGGCATCAAGAGTGGAAAGCTTGGGTCCCATGATGTACTTCTTGTCACCTGCGGCAAATGGAACAGAAATGTCACTGGAGCCATCCATGCTGTCTCATATGATCACAAGGACAGTAAGCACATGCTCATTATATGTTTACAGTGCACTGAACACTTTATAGAGTCAAAATGCATGCATGCCTTTCTAAAAAAGACAACAACAACAACAACAACATCCCAAATGTTCCATGGCACAACAGCTCCCAAGGTAACAGCAAAGCAGGGGAGGGTGCTCACATCACAAAGGAATAAATGTAGGGAGAATTTGGGAGTTTTAGTTCTTTAAAAAACATAGAAATAGTATAGTAATGTATTTTTGTTTCAATCCCAGGTGTGGGATTGTCCATAGCAGCCAACTATGATTTGCCTCAGGCTGTAGCAGAGGTATGGTAGCGGCAGACAGTTTCTGTTATTGTGTGACATTTGGAATTCTGGGGACTTTTCAGAGGGTGCATAAAATGCTAGGGCCCCAAGAGGCATGAGGCCCCAAGAGGTTGGTTGGTTGTTGTTGGTCGTGGTTGGTCATGGTTTGTTAAGTAGAAGTGTGAAAAGAAGCCACAAAAAGAAGAAATTAGGTATCCTGACAGCAAAGATCAAACTTGCCCCAAGTAGCTCATCGCCCCTAAACAGCAGGAAGTAGTCTAAAGATGTCGCCCCATTCTGACCCTTGTCTTTATTCAAGATCTCTTTCCTTACCTCTCTATTTTCTTTTCTTTCTTATCTAGTGTTAGAGGGTTGTAAGCGTGGAAGAAAACGGGTGGAGAAGAGGAAGAAAGAAAAACCTACAAAATGGCTAATGCTGGTTACAAACAAGGATGCTTCCAGAGAAAGGAATAATTCAACAACTGACCTCCAGAGAACCTCCTTGTCTCAGCTCTAGTAATCAAAAGATGTGCTGCTTGTCAATACCTAGAATTTTGCTAGAACAATCTCAAAAGTAATTTACACCAAGAACAGGAGACCTCATTGTTTGTAAATCAGTATATTTGCTTAGAAACAAACAAAAAGCCCAGGCTAAGAAGTTTGAAAGCAAGGTTGTCCATGATACTCCTAATTAGGGCAGCCGTTTAGCACAGAGTGCTGGCTCCCCTGGGAAAGCTCAACTACAGAGAAGACATAAGGTCACAAGTTCAACCCTGGTATCAGGCCCTAGGCAAGGTGTTTCAGACAACCGTTCTCATGTCTCTGCTTAACCAATGCTGACTTTGCCCAAGTTCAGGCCTTGACATGTGGATTATCACACTTGACTAAGAAGAACTACCCAAGCTGGTTTGGGGGCTGCTGTTAGGTATCGTGAAGCATGAATAGACAGCAGTTCTTCTTGTAGCAGACTGAGACCAACAGAAAGCCAGAAGTAGTAAAAATGTAGAAAAGAGTTGATTGTGGGATGCCCAGCCCCAGTTCTTATGATACAGCTGCAATATAAGCCCTATACCTAAAGCTCAGGGAACATCATGGTGGGGGAGGGAGCAGAAATACTTTAAAAGCCAAGGACCAGGACTTCTGCTTCAAAACTATATCTTCTAGAAATGACAGGGACACTACAACCATGAAATCTCCACGGTACGGTTGACTATACAATACCTGGACAAGAACAACACCAATTAATATGCCATCACGGGAGGGGCAAATGTCACAGGACCCCACCTCTAGATGAAAAGCTACAGAGAATCAACGACTGCGCAGAAATGGAGAATTAGCCTTCCCCAGGGTGGAGCCTCCTAAAGGTCATGCAATACCAAATGGTCAGCCCTAAAAACATACAGATAGCCAAAACTAAGCGGACTCAGCACCTTGTGTTTATATATTTATTCACATATATTTGTAAAAATGATAATTAAGAAAAAAGATCATGAATTTGAGAGAAAAGAGTGTGGGAGGATTGAGAGAGGTTGAAGGGAGGAAAGGGGATAATTATCATCCACATATGTGAAAATTTTTATATTAATTTGATGGAGAAAAAAAAACTGCCTCAAGCTGGCTTCTGAGCTGTTGTCAGGTACTGTATCATAAAGAAGCAATAGTAGAATCGTCTTCACCCAGGTCACATCCTATCACATGATTATCCATCCTCATCATTACTTCACCTCTCAGAGATTTCTTGTCTGCAATAGAGAGGTGGCATTAAGAATGCTTGTTCCTAGGGCCTGGGGAGCTATCTAAGTCAAAAGAGTGTTTTCTTTGCAAAGATAATAACCTAAGTTTCATCCATACGACCCACATAAAGAAAACAAATAGGCAAGACAGCACACACTTGTAAGCTCCCTTCTGAGAGCCTTGTTCGCTGTCAGCAAGCCTAGCCTGTTTTGTGAGTATTGGTGAGTGAGAGACCCTATCTCATTAAGAACAGGTGACTATTACCTGAGGAATACACCTGAGGTTGTTCCCTGGCCTCTAGATGCCAAGCACAAATGAGCACAGGTAGGAACACAGTTGCTCTCACACACAAACAGTGCCTGTTCCTTGGGATGTGAAAACGTAAGGCAGAATGCACCAATTCTGAGTAACTTAGCTGACCACTAGCTCTCTTGAGGACAGACTCTCCCTTTCTTAGGTCTATGCCTCAGCCCGTAAGAATGTCATCTGGTAAGGTCATGTCACTTCTTTTCACAGACATTTTCAATGGCTTATTAAAGAAAAGTCCAAACTCTACTTGGAAAAATGAGGCCCATGATATTCTGCTCCAGGGCCAGCCTGTACTCCAGTGAAATCCCAGCACATCTGCCCCCATCGCTACACGGCGCACGCTACACCCTCCAACCTCAGGGGTTGCACTTCTGTGTAGTCACGTCTGTCTCTCCTTGAGGCTCACCATCAGCATCCTTTCAAAGCTTCCTCCTGCTCTGCCCTGTGGTAACAGGAGATTCCATTCCTACACCCTCAGCTCAGTTTTACCACTGTACATTTAAGTGCACAGGGCGTAAAGCGTTTAATGTCCATTGACATCATATTCCTGAAACATAAAATGTGAGCGTTTGCAGATTACTGAGAAAACTGAGGGGGCTTGAGCTAAGCACAAAGGAAATAACAAACACCCTGCTTCCCTCTCAGGCTCCTTACATCGTATTTTTTCTGTGCTGTGTATGCCCAGGCTGTCTTCTACTTGTGGATTTTACCCATCTAGCAGATGGAAAGCCCATTAGCAGCAGGGGTCATTTCTCATTTTTACTTAACAAACTCTTGCAGTGTGCTTGTATTTTCCTGACATGGTCATATCACAGAAGCTTCCTTAAGCTGAAAGCTGAGGAAGCTGGACTGTTGGTGTCAATGCATAGGTCAGGTAGGAGGGGAGGTAGGAGGGGGACCCCCCCAGAGGAGGCAACACAAGGAAACAAGGCAGGAAAGACAATGAAACCGGGAGGCAGCATTTCTTAAATTATGACTGCTGCCAGGCATGGGGCACAGCCCTTGAATCCCTGTGTTCTGGAGGCCTAGGCAGAAAGATTCTTTGTGAGTTTGAGGTCTGCATAGAGGGAGAAGGAAAGAGTGAAGTGGGGGGAGACAGACAGAAGCAGAGAGACAGAGACACAGACACAGACAATCTACTGTGAGAGAATGGCCCTATCCCACAGGAACCAAGGAATACCCTCTGCTCAGCAATATGCTGAGCCTAGCCAAGTTATCTTTCTGATGAAGAAAATCGAGCTTTCTTTGTTAGGGCCCTTGGTGTTCCTCATTGTCAGCCAGTCTTCATCATTTCAGTCTGACCTCAGAACTTAAGCCAATTTCCCAAATAACAGGAAAATAATGATAAGCTACCCATGCAAAATAACACACACGGTAGGCATCATTCATTCTTAAAACTTTATTTCTCTCTTTTTTTAACTAAAAAACCAAACCAAAACAAAACTCTTTGTATGGTGTGTGTGTGTGTGTTTTAACTAAAAAACAAACCAAACCAAAACTCTTTGTATGGTGTGTCTGTGTGTGTGTGTGTGTGTGTGTGTGTGTGTGTGTGTGTGTTTTAACTAAAAAACCAAACCAAAACTCTTTGTATGGTGTGCCTGTGTGTGTGTGTGTGTGTGTATGGTGTGTGTGTGTGTGTGTGTGTGTGTGTTTTAACTAAAAAAACCAAACCAAAACTCTTTGTATGGTGTGTCTGTCTGTGTGTGTGTGTGTGTGTGTGTGTATGGTGTGTGTGTGTGTGTGTGTGTGTGTGTGTGTGTACATGCATGCGTCACAGTAGGTATGTAGAGGTCAGAGGACAACCTCAGGTCCCAATCCTCACCTTTTACCATGTATCTGTTTGCCACTGTGCACACCAGGTTTCCTGACTTACAAGCTTAGAATCCTTGGAAGGATTCTGTTTCTGCCTACCAGCTCACTGTAGGAGCATGGACATCACACAGTACCTGGCTTTATATGAGCTCTGCAGAATGCAATGCAGGTTCTCACTCTGTGACAACTGTTTATCCGTTAAGCTATCTCCCAGCCCCGTTGTTTTCTGACTGTGCAATTTGCTTTTTCTGGGCCTCAGTCACTGCTCTGTTAACACGGTCAATACAGATGGCCGAGAGACCCTTCTCAGGACTCTTGTATTGTGCTGCTAGTGCAGGAGACATCAGCAGATGACCCAAAAATCCCTCCTATTGGGTTGTGTCAGGGAGCCACTGAATCATGGCCAAACCCAAGCCAGCCCACATGGACACCTGAAAGATACTGAGAATAGAGCCACACACAACCTCCAGGAAAGTAAGACAAGAAGAAGAAGACGAAGAAGAGGAGGAGGAAGAGGAGGAAGAAAAGGAGGAGGAAGAAAAGGAGGAGGAGGAGGAGGAGGAGGAAGAGGACGAGGAGCAGCAACAATAACAGATTACAGACACACACACACCAAAAAATCAAGTACTGTATGGCAATTGGAGACCTGGCTCATCAGTCAAGTGCTTGCCTGCCTTGCAACTAGCACAACTGTTCAGTCTGCAGAACATTCACTGGACTTTTTTTTAAAGGATGAGTATGCTGACACACGTTTGTAATCCCAGAACTAGGGAATTAGAGACAGGTGGACC